GCGCATCGTAACACATAACTATGAATGATGCTGATGGCAGAATTTGGTCTCGCTCTTTTAATGTAACCCATGGCATCTGAGGAAGCTGTTCTGGGTGAATTGCACGATTGCTGAGCATGAAAGTCAGTAGCTTTCAGCTTCCATCTGGGTCCTGTGACAAATGATTGCTTCTCAAACCTAGAATTTGTAGTTGTAAGAGTCCACTGAGCTCGTAACATACTGTTATTCAAAAGCAACTCCCGGAGAGACACCATGTTTCCTAGTTCAGCTGGCAAACATCTGAGTTTATTGTATGAAAGATCCAGGTAAAGCGGATCATGAAGCTTGGCCATATCAGCCAAGGTAAGCTAACTAAGGTAACTGCCACCAAGGTGCAGCGCTGTCAAGTGTGTCCATGACCAAAGTGATGTACTGAAGCTCCGCCCTCGACCCAAGATTTCTAATTCTGACCAGTGAGCCTGCTTCCCATTGGCTACCTTCCCTGCTGACGTGATGGTACAAATTTTGTGAGGCTCTGAAGGATCATATTTTTCCCTTGGCATCTGTATTAGTCTCGGCTTCCACCTCCCTGCGCTCTCAAGCCTACCCTGGCAGGGAGCTCACTTGCTATAATTAGGGTCACATGAAATAAACTTTTTAACAATTAAGGATTCCTCTAATATGCATTAAGCTTTACATTAATACCTGGTGTTAAAATGCACAAGAAGTTTAAATAGTTAGTATCTATTTCCTTATCCCTCTCAGATCATAAGATAAAGTTGCACATAATAGGCATCCAATATTATTCATTTAATCACTTCCTTTCTGGTCACTAGAGGAAGAAGAAATAGTCAAAATAGCCTGCCCTCCAGCTTTTTAGCTACATGCACTTACAGTCAGGCTGTCACAAAACTGAATATCAATTGGAAGCAAGAATTTTTGCTGGAGACACACTGAGAGCCAGGTTTAGGGCTAATATCCTCATCCAGGCTGTTGGGGTTATTTAAATTGTGTTTTAAGCAACATACTCAGGCATTATTGCATTGCATTTCTCCAAAGTTTAATTATGCTGACTCAATAGCTTCTTTCTTTTTTCAGACATCTCATTATAAATCATTCTCCTTGCCATGTGCTAGTCTAACGCATTCTTGTTTCTCTTTGTCCTGTTAGAACTCAGGAAAAAAAAAATCTGAAATACAGCGTTTTGGCATCTGAGAATTCTGAACAAAAGGAGATTGGAAATCTTCAGAAACAGCCTCAGAATCAAATTCTATCTCTGACCTCTCCTCCCTTCTCACATCCCTTTTTCTCCCTTTTTCTTGACCTCTTTGTAGAACAGAGAAATGGTAGACTAGATTTTTTTTTTCCTTTCCTCAACAAAAATGAGGCAAGGCTTTTTCTTGGGGAGGGGGATCTAGTCTACCATTTCTCGGTTCTAATTAGACAGGTTTTACTGAGTTTTCCCCCCTCAGTCTATTACTTTTAGATCCTATCTACAGTGCTCATTGTCTTGAATAAGCCAATTTCTCCACTCAGGGCTTTTACTGAGAATTAGCAAACGTTTCTCAGAAAAAGAAAACAACCAGAATTTAGACATCTAATTAAATAACCCTAATGGACTAGACTGTTTGTCTGCTGATTTGTGACTACACTTACCCTGGTCATTCACAGTTCACTCTTTATTTACTGGCCTATTTTATTTGACATCCAATGAAGGGGAATCAAGCAATAATTTATTGTTCAAGATCTTTTCTTCTGGTGGATGATCTCCTTGGAACATTATTCAAAATGATTAGATAAATAAAAATAAAAGGGCTGTGTTTGAAGTTAGAAGCCTTAGGTTAAGGGCTATTTTTGCTTCTGACTGTACAACAGATCGGCCACTTCATCTTTCTAAATGTATCTCCATTGCTTATCCCCAAAATGAAGATGACCTTTACTTGCTTTATGTAAGGCAGTTCTTTCATTGTCTCATTGGCAGAACTACCCCAGGTGGTAAGAAATACACCTGGCCTCTTTAACTCTTCAATCTTCTAAGGTTAAACATTGTTAATCAGTGAGCTCCAAGATCCTGAAATACTTCTGCAGCACAGCTAAATAGCCCAACTCCTAGAAAAGCATACTCACCCAGCCTATCTAACATTGCACATTCTAAAGATATTTAAAAATATGGAATATATGTATATATACATGTGTGTGTGTGTGTGTGTGTGTATATATATATATATATATATATAAACAATATATATATATTGTTTTGCCTTGATATTAAATTTGGGGATTTTATATGCCTTTTGTGATGTGTTTTCCTTCTTTTCAGCAAAATCAACTGGAATGTAAAAATTGCACATTGTTTACCTCCAAACTCAAGAACTAAAAATGACCCCTAGCAAGAGTTTGCTCTGCATTTTAAGAATTTTATCCATGCTTAGTATATTAGTTTTGATAAGCAAATTACTGTAAGAAATAGGAAAAAGTAAAAACATGGCAAAGTGAGTAATAGGAGGGATGGATATGATAATCTATCTCTCTATATATTAATATATATAAAAGCCTCCCACAAAATGTGAAACTAAGGTGGGGTGCAATGACCATATGTGCCTGTATGAATCTGCCAAGATGAAACTCATTATCACTACAACAAATGTGCACTAATAAAAAATGTGGAAAATATAAAAGCATGTAACATCCCTAAAGTGAATAAGATTTATTTCTTGCTCACGGAACCAGACTGGGTAGATACACAGGAGGCCAAGGCAGCCCTGTTCTATGCAATCAATCACTCAGGCATCCAAACATACTCCAGTGGGCTGTGCTGAGTCACGAGCAGGATTTCTTTCCATTTGTGTCCCAGGTCTCTGGAAGCATAGCTGGCCTCCCAAATTCTTCTTTTTTTCTCGTTGAGTTTATTGATACATTCTAGGTATACCGTACAGTTACATTCATCATTGGGATCTTGTACCTTTACGTGACAGGTGTTGGTTCTCACTTTTCCCCATACCCCTGCCCTCCCTTCACCCCCTCCTCCCTTCCCTATTTACAAACACTTTATTTCCATTTTTTTCATTTTCTCATTTTTTTTCTTTTCCCTTACCTTAGGCTACAATAGCTTAACTCAAAATTGTGTGATTCGAATTTACCCTCCCAGGCATGCTTGGAACTAATCTGAATTTGGGCTTTGCTTTTCCCACTTCTCTATTTAGAGGTTCTCTGGTACTTACCTCCTGCCCTTCTTTCTGTCTTTTAAAGGGTTACAACAGCTGCCTTTGCTCCTTATGGGATCTAGCTCCATTTAGCTAAGCTACTAATTACTCTACCTCCACTCTATTCCTTCTTTGCTTCAGGGAAGATTTTTTAAAAATCACTGTGAGCAAGTGTTGAGCTGGCTGGACTGTCTTTTTTTTTTTTTACTTCAGCAAGCAACTTCTTTTCCTTGTGTGTGTTATCTCTCGTTCATCTTTCTTTTTTTCCCCCCTTAACATTTGTCCCCAGCCCTGTTTAATCAACTGTTACTAACAGCAGTGTTTTATTTCCATTTCACTCACTATCCTTTAAGCTGAAACCAATGGCCTGCATCCACTTTCATTGTGACATCTTTTGAAGACCACTCATTCAAGCACAATTGTTCAAAACTTGTCTTTTCTGAAACAATTTTCCAGCTAGCAAGCCATGCTCAATTTCCAAACTCCCTAACTATCTTACATATAGTTGTCTCTGACAACAGCTCAGAGCCTCTTCCCAGAAGGAAAGTTCTGTCAAGTTAATTGTTCATCTTGAATCAGAGAGAGAACCATATCTGAGGTTCTGGAGAAGTAGCCAGAGTAGTCATGAGATTCTGGAGTCAGGTGACCAGTGGCTCCAGTGTATCCCAAAGATATGATTTTAAAACTAGAACAAATTTTAAACACTAGTTTAAAGAGGTTCTTTTCAGTACAGGGACTTGGTTGGGTAAGAATCACAGTATAATAGTTCAGCATTGATGGGTGCAACAACGTGAGAATTTTGAAGTAAAAGGTTCTAAGAGCCTAGAGATGTAAGTAGTTGATGCTTTCAACTGAAACACTGATGGGTCCTTCAAAAGTTCCTATAGTGAGAAATAAAGTTATTTGCCTGGGCAACAGTCTTCTGAGGTAGTGTGGTTACATGAATGTAGGCAGTAGGCCATTAAGGTTATATTACTATAGACCGTAAGCTACATGTGTTGGAAGGAGTAGGCAGATTCTTTCCTCAGAGTTAATTCCATCCCCTTCTCCAACAGCTGATTCATAGTCAATGTCCTTAGTCACAGTACCTAACCTAGCAGAGTTAACAAAAGAGTTTTTGCAAGAATGTTTCCATACCTTCTACTCCAAGTTGTCAGTGTCTGTTCTAGCTTTTGTTATATTTGTGAGAGTAACAGTAATAAAGCCATTATTTTATAGGGGTATTTCCACAGTAGGAAGGCCACATATCAAATCCCTTATACTTATTATTTAATCCTAATAAGAACCCTTTGGAGGAAGAGGTGCTTTTATTGTCTCTACTGTACAGACGAGGAAATTGTATCTCAAAGAAGTCAAGGACCTCAAGCATCCAGAAGTGGCAGAGCCAATATTCTATCTCAGATCTATCTGATTGTTCCACAGTGAACAGGAACAAATTTCAGATACCAGCTACAACACGGATGAACCTCCCAGCCACCGTGCTAAATGAAAGAAGGAAACAGAAAAGGCTGTATATTGTATGATTCTTTCTATAGGAAATGTCCAGATAAGCCAAATTTATAGAGATAGAACACAGATCAGTGGTTTATAGGTATGAGGGATGGGAATTAACTGCAAATGGACATATCATCACTTCTGTCACTGAGGGAAGCCAGGAGTAGTTTGTGGCTGGAGGGACTGATTCCTGAGACCAACAGTCACTGCCATGCCACATAAGTGCACCTACTTCTCATGGACCTTTGAGTTATGTTGTTTTAGCTTTGGTAAAAAACAGAAATGGGTGTATTGTGGTGACTGTGTTCCTTGTAACTTCTACAGAGAAATTCGGAATACCAGAAGCTTAACTTACATAGATCCTGATGCCCTGAAAGAACTCCCCCTCTTAAAGTTCCTGTGAGTAGCAACTTTCTCATCCCACTTTTGATTTTTTTAAATTTCTTTCTTTTTAAGTAATTTTAATTCTGTTGTCTTCCAGGAATCACCCTAGACTGATGTGGTCTAATGTTATTTTAGTGGTGTATAATTCTATGCCCACCATTTCCCACCAGGCAAGGTATTAAGTGAATGGCTTACATTTTCAAAACCCATCCAAAAGTCAGCACATACTGCTGGAACCAGAGACCTGCTCCAAGAGATACAAGGGAGAAAATGTCATCACAGAACAAATACAAAATCCTGACAGCCAACTGATCAATTTTGTTTGGAAATGGTACTGTAGCAATATGAAAGTGGCTGTTACACAGCAAAAAAAAAAAAAAAAAAAAAAAAAAAAAAAAAAAAAAAAAAAAAAAAAAAAAAAAAAAAAAAAAAAAAAAAAAAAAAAAAAAAAAAAAAAAAAAAAAAGCCACAAATGATAAAATTTAATCTCTTGAGGTTGGAGAACAAAAATGGAAGGGACAACACTTACTACTTTGTTTTGCTAATACTTTATGAGCTGACCATAGCTCTGAAAGAGAAGGAACCACAACATTTTTGTTTTCTCTGGCATCTTTACTGACTAGCAGAGAGTATATACTCAATAAAAATGCAGTGGATGCATATTTATTACCTCTGACCCTTCAGACACAATCTGGTAGCATCTTCTTTCCCATTTACGTGCATTATAAAATTAGAAAACAGAAAAATGAAGAAAATAAAAACAAACCTTGTAGGGCTTGATTCTAAACAACAATCACTATTAACTTTCAGTTCACTTGCATTCAGGGATTTAAAATAAAAGTGCACATCCATAAACATTTTCTGATATAGGTCTTAAGGTTGAATAGAATTCTTTAAGAAGAGGAAGGGGGAGGGTGAAGAGAAATGCAAGTAGATGAGGCAACATGATAAACACAGAGGCATGGAACAACCTGGTTCATTTGGGGAAAGAAAAACATTGCCTTGTTGGAGACAGGAGTGCGAGACACAGAAGAAAGGAAAAGAAAACTGATTGTGTAAGTCAAGTGATACCTGGGGAGCAATGAAAATTAACTGAATAAGGCAGTCACTCTTTACAAACTTAGAGTTCCAAGAATCAATCAATAATCAATCAGGTATTTGGAGGAAATATTTTTAAAAAGACTTCCTGAAAGGCTTTGAAGAGTAAAGGTAATGGTTCAAATTTCTCTGGGCCGGGGATTTAGCTCAGTGGTTCCACCGCCTGCCTCGCAAGCACAAGGTCCTGAGTTCAATCCCCGACACCAAAAAAAAAAGAAAAAAAAATGCTTCTCAATTCAAATTTCTTTAATCTGGCATTTGCAACCCTTTATTCTATGAAACCTCCCCACCACTTGACTCTCTGGCCTTTTTTTCCCCTTCTTTTCCTTCTCTTACATGAAACTTCACTACAGTTGAACTAGTATGTTAACTGTACATCAAACACACCTTACAGATTATCCTTCCTCTGCTTTGATATCAGCAACGTCCCGTTCACTCGTTTTGAAGCTTGTGGCTCCTTCAGCCTCTTCACACCCTATCCCTTCCTCTCCAGCAGGAGTCAAGTCTGAATCTGCCTGTGCCAGGCCAAGAATCTCAAAACATTTTCTGCTTCCACTAGCTACGTTCTAGTAGCTGCAACGAATTTTAAACAGACGGAATCTGAAAGGCATCAGGAGCCTGACAGGTTTTGTGTTTATGCTGCTTTACGCGTGCCCTTTAATTTTGACGTTTTTTCCCAGATGACACAAACTTTGGAAACTTTTGTTCCTTTTCCTTGGGTTAGAACTGTCTTACGGTCAGGTACTATGTGCCGAAGTTAGGGGTTGGCTTCAGACTGACTTCAGAACGCATGCCTTTGGCTCTCATATTACACTGTTCTACTTCCTTTGTGTTAATTTTCTTACCTGAAATTGTTCCTCTTTCTTCTTCTTCTTCTTCTTTTTTTTTTTTCATATAACTTAGTGGCATTTTCAACACTGGACTTAGAATATTCCCTGGCCTTACCAAAGTTTATTCAACTGATGTATTCTTCATACTGTAAGTACACACGCCATGCTGTGTTTGACACTATTTTGTTTGTCATTGACAAGAATTAGGGTGCAACCATGGGATTTGGCCAAGTACAGCAATTGTTTCCAGGAGGAAACTGATCAGTTGTAACAACCCTGACGGATGAAGCCAGACAGGGCTGGAAAATGGCCATGGGATTTAGTAATGTGGGTCATTGGTGATTCTGACAGGAATAATTCTAATGGAGTGGTAGCGTGGGGAAGTCAGACTAGAGTCCATGCCAAAGCTCAAAAGAGGCCTGGAGGAGAAGACTTAGAGAAACTGATCATAAATAAACTCTTTTGAGAACTTTTGCTACTAAAAGGGAAAAGAAAATATCCCAATGGTTGGAGAATTGGGAAAGAAAGGGCTACAATTTTTAAATGGAGAAATTATCAAATATTGGTGAGGAAAATTGAATATAGGGAAAAATTAATGATAATTACAATACTTATTTTTCAGAATGGTTTAAGTAGATTTCAAACACTTCTTCATATGTTGTACTTGCTCTACACAATCTTGTAAGGCATAAAAGGAAGTTATTATTTTTCTTTTTGGCAAATGAAACTGAGGAACAGGGAATCAAAGTGATTTTGTCTCAGCAAGGTCCCATGGAACAGTTAAGAGTCATGCCCAAAACTACTTACTGTGACTTTCAATTAGTGGTTTTATGCTTTTTGTCCCCAGAAAAGCCTGTAAAATAGATGAATCATCTTACCTAAGTAGACAGAAGCAAAGGGATATATGCAGAGAGAGATGAGTTGCACTATAGAGTTAGCAAAATGTGGAGTGATGAGCTCCAAACTCTTCCTCACTTACTGATGACTTGCAGCTGTGAATTCCTGTACATCTAGGACAGCTCTCACCACCTGACCTAACCTCCAAGCCCCAAGTGGTTGGAAAGGGTCAACAAACACTCAGCAATACACAAGATTTTGCTGTACTGAGTTATTTTAAGTGTCTGTGTGTAACAAGAGGCCATTTCCAGGAAGAAAGCATTTCTTCATCAAGTGTTTTTGTTCCTCTCTCTGGCAGTGAAATTACGGACAACCCTTACATGACTTCAGTCCCTGTAAATGCATTTCAGGGACTGTGCAATGAAACTTTGACACTGTGAGTATTGCAGATTTCACTCCTGCCAATAATTGAATTGTGTTGGGGGCCATTTTCATAAGAACTATATTAAGGTACTCTTTAGTATGGAAAGGGTTTCGTGCTACAAAGTGAGTATAATGCCATTGGTTTGGTCCTCTGTGGACCGCAAGCAGGTTTGGGTAACAAGTATATTCCTGTATGGCAGTGGTTGGTACATTTTTTTCTGTGAAGGATCAATTGAACTTTATAAATTAGATGGCTTCTTTAGCAACTGCTGAATTTCCTCAAGGTCACTGAGTTAGAGAGTGGCCCCACTTCAGTCCCTGCACACTCTGCAGTCACACTTTTTACTCACTAACCACAAACTACTATTAAGCTCCTTGAGACTACTGAATAGACAAGATAATGTCACTATACAGCATTAGCGTTTTAGAGCTGCTCTCAAGAGGTTCAAAAGCATATGCTTAATCAGGGATAGTCACAAAAGTTCTAATGGAAAAGACCTAATAAAAGTATGAAAGAGAAATCAATTCTGCAGGCTGATAGAAAACTCCTGTCTCATTGTGTCAGCCACAAAGTAGAGTTGGGGCCATCTCTGAAGATCCCTCCTCTCTTTCTTCAATACCCATGTGCGGGACCGGCAGGTTTTTTGCATGGATCGCCAAGATAGTGACTGGTCATATTACAGTCTGAGGCTTTTTATTAGTTAGAAGCCTTGTTCAGTAACTCCCCAACAAAACTGACACAAGCTTCCACACAACTTTTTTAAGGCCAGTTTTCCAAGCCATTCCAAGCCTGCCTGGGTTCCATGAACTATCTCAACTGTTGGGAGTTAGAACACTTCAACAGATCCTTCTCACAACACAGAGATAGTTCTTTTGAAAAGACAAGAGATTCCTTCCCAGCCACCATTTCTTTTGGAAGCACAGAAAGGACCTCAAACCTCAGGGTCACTTAGCTGCTCTGGAAAGCTTTCCATTGTGCCATTTAATGCCCACCATATGTAAACTCTTGCACTCTCAGCATCTTTACAGAACATGACCATCCCCTTTGGACACATTTTTCAAGGCCATTATCCATGAAGTTTATCTCAGGAATATAACTCAAAAGAAAAGAACATTTTTAATATCCACAGCACTCAATAAAGTTTGGGGAAATAAAAACTGTATAATTTTCACATCATTGTAAAAGAACTGTACTTGAGAAAAAAGTTAACTTATTCATTTGCAATTTACTAGCATTTATGCCTATGTCCCTGGGATTTGGGCTGCGGTCATACCCAGGACACTTTGGTACCTGGAATTAAACTCATTATGTAATTATTTTTTTAAGGGAAAACCAACACATAAACAGCAACAAAAGCATAAGACTATTTTATTTCTGGGTTCTCCACAAGTACACAGTGTAAATCCAAGTCTTAGCATACTGCCTTTAACTTGATCATCTCATAACTGTGCCTCATTGTGTTATATATATGGCGACCTGGTGTTCCCACCAACCTTCTGTCTGGGTATTATCATATTTTAGAAATAAAGAAACTGAGGATTAGAGAAGTTGATAAATTCTCAGCATCACCCAGTTATTAAATAGCACAGCCACATGTAGTTTCAAATTTGAAATCTCCTGTGTGCTTTTTTCCCCTCTTTTATTGTGATATGGGGATTAAACTCAGGTCCTTCACCCTGAGTTACATTCATATGTCTGTCTGTATGTATATATATATATTTTTTTAATTTTAGACAGTTTGTCCAGGCTGGGATTGAACTTGAGATCCTCCTGCCTTGGCTTACTAGTTTTGGAATTATATGCACCACCTCACCCAGCTTCTTACACTATGCTACCAGAGTTCACGTGTGGTAGATTATAGTCATCTTCATAGTTTCCCTATAGCTATCACTAGGCATTCTCCCTGACTATGTCTAATTGTAGTCATGGCTGTGTTCTTTTATCTTTCTACTACAATCATAAATAAACCCTCATGTACCTATATGTATCCCTGAGTTCCTAATGCTGGGGCTCTTTCTCCTGCAGAAAGTGTTTATGTTGGTTGAGGAGAATTATATTTAAAGTCAGGGATGTTGACTCCTAATAGTTCTAGACCAGTGTTTTGTAGGAAAGTTACCTCCATGTCTCAGTAACTTCACCAAGAAATGGAAGTACTAACATTTCAGATTGGTCCTCTGGAATCACTGTATGAGTTAACTAGTTGCAGAAACATAGCAACAAGTTAAAATATTAAAATGTCCACAAAAGGGTATGGTCTATCTACTTTCTTAGATGAAGTTTCATTTAATTTAGCCCACAAGCATTAAGTATTTAACCTAAAATCAATTCAGGATAATATATAAAAGCAAAATAACATTTTAAATAGAAAATTTCTGCATCCAAATGAATGTCTTTCAAAGTGTTCATCTTAAGAAACTGCAGTTATACCTTCATGAATGACAGCGGGTTAACTACCATCCAAGATCCCTTTTTCTGGATGCATATTTTTTAAAAATCTGTTGGCAGGTCTGTGTTCTTCATAGTAAATCTGCTTCTGAAGAAAAGGCTTCCTTACTAGCATCAAATCCTGAAGAATGGGAATTTAAATTGGAAACTATTATCATGTCCCAAACAAAGGAACACTGTAAAATTTTCTTGTGGGGTACATGTGTGAGACCTGTGAAACTATGCACCTTTCTGACACTGAAGACATGATGCCTAACCACTTTTAAAAAAGGGCTAGCATCACCTTTGTATATCACTGATCTCTCTCTCTCTCTCTCTCTCTCTCTCTCTCTCTCGCTCTCTTTCTGTATTGATTATAGGAAACTATACAACAATGGCTTTACTTCAGTCCAAGGACATGCTTTCAATGGAACAAAGCTGGATGCTGTGTAAGTCAAGGGTAGCCTTGGAAACTGTCACCCTCCCTACACACTTTCCAAAGCGTTAGAGTATCATGTTCTCAATTGTCTTGTTGGCACGGAGGGCGGGCATCATTAGGGTTGATTTCAGTCATTTTAAAAAATACGTAATCATAGGGGAAATTATAAAGGAGTCTATAGAGTAGCATGAATTCTTATGCATCAAATCTATTTACAGAATTGCCAAGACCACTTTTCCATCTTAACTTTGTCATACCAATTAATCTCACACTTCTTACCATAATTATCAAACACCTACAATGTGCTAGGAACTGTGCCGTCCACTGGCAATGCAAAGATAAACAAAAGCGATGTGCTCCCTGCCCACAATGAACATAAGATTCTTGTAGAGTCAACCCAAGGGAAGCAATATCAAAGATCAAAGGGCATTATGGAGGAATGTAAACCCAATTCAAAATAACAAAATGTTAAATATCAAAGAACTCTGGCCTCCTTGCTTAGAGATATAAGCATGATTTTCTCTGGATTTATCTCATGTTTTTTCAGTTAGTAGCATTTAATTTTAATATTACATGAATCTCACCAAATATTTTCCTCTTTGATTCAACTGTTTGTAGAAAGACTTGAACCTTAGGGAAATGGTCTTCTTGATTCAAAATTTCTATGAATAGAGTATAGGAACCTCCTAAAGTAAAACACTTTGCAGCTACTTCACGTATACAGATTTCAGAAGACTATCATGCTGTTCTAGGTGTTGGGAGGCATCCAGAGGTTAGCACTGAGGCAACAGAGAACCACATTAACAAGGGGAGGGGGAGGGATAGTAAAGAAACTCTCAACTAGGGGACCAGAGCTGAGAATGCAACTCCTGAATTCACTGTATCCTGCTGATTCTTGATGGAACCAAAACTGTTTTTCTGGAAGCTGTATGAGTAAAAAGATCCAAAAATATTGGAGAGATGGCAATCCATTCTTCAAATTTTTATAAGCAAAGGATTTTAAATTACCACCAAAATAATGAGCTATGCCTCAAACTATTTGCTTCTCTACCTTGCCATATTTAGTTATTGGAAAGTATGGTCCTCAAACATTCTCAGTTATCCTCAAGTAAAGAGATTTAGAGTATACAACACAGATAAACTTTGATGGATACACAGCAGTGGTCTTAAATATTGGCCAGAAATTGGAATCACCTGAGGCATTTTGAAAGCACTCCCGGCTAGGTTTTGCCAACAGAAATTCTGGATGTAGCCAAGGCAATGGAGATTTTAAAATCTTCCCAGGTGAGTCCAAGGTGACATGGAGCCAGAGTTAAGAACCACTTCTGTGGAATATGTTATCAATCATCTTGTCCACTTTTCACATTTTACATAAGAAGAGAATAAAGCCCAAAGAGGACGCATGATTTTTTTTAACATGGCTTTTGAAATTGGAAGGAGCACGCTTGTGACTGAGCCAGTGGTGGGCCTTAGATCCCTTTGTTCAGCATTATTCTCCCTGTCCTCTGCTGTAATTCATCACTACTGACTTCTCAGGCGGCACCAAAACACAGACACCCAGCTGCTCCAGCCATTGCTGCTTGTTTTTTAGCCTTGGAGAATATATAGGCTCCTTAGCTCAGTCCATCAAGAGTGTGAAACACTGAAGTTAAAATATCTGGCACCTACCAAGAAGGTCGTGCGGGAAAGAATTCAACCCAAACCTCCAGAACACAGCAGGAGTTTCAGACAATAATCACACCAAGAAAGCGTCATTGGTCAGCGAGAATCTGACTCTATCAATAGAGCAAGATCACCCACTCAGTAAGCTTCCAACTGAAGGTGAGGTGGGACAACTTGATGAAAAGTCTGGAATGATAAATGTTATCAAATTTAAAGAATTGAGCTTGAAGTTGGGCCACGTACATTGACCATTTGCTTCAAAACATTTACTCCTGATCACCATTTGTCTCTTGGTCATTTTTAGAGAACTCTGCGAAGAATTCAAGGGATTTTTCAAGAGGCTTCTTTTATAATCAGGAAACTCTACTGTGCTAAATGGATCTCAGCATACACCCTAACAGCCTATTATTTTTGAGATTTGGCCATAAAGTCAGCTACAGAATACTAAAAGGGTTTGGAAACATTTCCTATTGAAGAGATGGAAAAACTAACAAGGAAACAATAATCTCAGTCCCAGCTCCTCCCTAGACTTCACGATAAAAGAACAAATTGGAGGAGAGAAAGCACTTCCCAAATTATGTTCCTTGAATTCTCTTTCCATGGTAAGCTAATGATTGTTACTTTAAAGAAGCAACTTGATCTTGCAAATGTGAAAAAAGTACATAGGTAGATCTTTCTGGTCTTTCAGTAGACCAATCTGAATTCAGTGTCTAAAAGAGGGCTATAAAGTGTGCAGAGCTTCTCACGTAGCTCTTGGTTTCAATTACATTGCTTTTGCCACGATGATACACAGAACATTTTTAGGGGAATTCTTACTCTAGGAGAAAGAAAAAAAAAGGCATTTTCTAGTCTCAATACAGAATATTCTACTTCTGGTCAACAAAATGTAAGAGAATTTTTTTCTTTATCAACAACCAAATTCTGCAGCAGATGATAACAGGATATTCTATCAATTTATTTCAATTCTAACACTGTCTACCTAAAGATAGTGTCAGATCCTGCAGATTAAGTAATCCCACAGGCCACCCCCACTTCAGATGCCATTCACAAGCCCCTGCTTATGTCCTGTGTTTCTGTCCAACCAGCAACCCACTGAGTATTCCAATTCTTTTCCATTCGACTAATTTGCCAGATCAACTCACATAAGTTAGGGACACACTTTACTTTGCTAAAGATATTGAAAGGACCATCCAGGTGCTGATGTGTAAGGCAAGGCACATGAAAAGTGCAGAACGTCCATACCTTCTCTGGGCATGCCTCTCTCCAGGAACCTCCATGTATTCAGCTCTCTGGAAGTTCAACAAAACCATGTACTTTGCGGGTGGAAATGGCTCATTACAGAGGCATGGTTGCTTACATCATTGGCCACTGGTGACCAACTCAATTTTCAGCCCCTCTTTTCTCTTCCAGAGGTTGGGCGGGGGATGAAACTAAAAGTCCTGAGTCTCTGATAATGCCATTATCTTTTTGGTGACCAGTCCCTGTCCTGAAGCCAATTACCAGTCAGCTCATTAGCATGCAAAAGACACTCTTATCACTTAGGAGATTCCACGGGGTTTAGGAGCACTGTGCCACAAAGCAGGGATCAAGACCCATGTCACACTACGGAAGAAGACTCTTTCAATGCACGATCTCATTAGAAGGCAGGTAAATTTAACAAGGTGTGTTCTAGAGGCAGCCTGCAGAGAAAAGTCTAACTAGTAAACGTTTCAGATTATCTGATAGCCTTCTGAAATTAAACCTAGGAGAGAGTATGCAGAGGGAGTCTGTCTTCCCACCAGATTTCTCCTCAGATCATATTTTGAGCTCTGTAAGAGGGTTGGCTGATGAATTGACAATGAATTTTAATTCACTGCTACCTTTATTTAGTCTGTTTTAGCCACTGAAACTATCCTTTGAAACAAAAGAGAGAAATCAGCATACCATTTTCAAAATTCTCAACCTTTCACGTTAAATATTAAAATTACTTGGAACAGTCAAACAAATGTGACAAACATTTCTTAGCTAACAGCCCTTTGTTTCCTGATTTTTAAAAGTCCAGATTAGAGGTCAGCAATCTTTCTGGAAAAGGCCCAGAGAACAAATATTTTGGGCTTTGAGGAATAAATGGTCTCAGGTGCCCCTACTCAACTCTACCATTACAGTATAAACGTGGCAATAGTCAATACAGAAACAAATGAATGTGGCTATGTTGCATTAAAACCTTATTTACAAAAGTGGGTGAAAGGCAGTGTTTGACTGGAGAGTCAGAGTTTACGGATCCTTTGGGCTAGGTGAAGGCAATCAGTGAAGACGTAATGCCATCTGTGTCTCAATTCCCAGGAAAAGTTAAAAGGCAACCATGAGATAAGAAGAATCTGAGGCTGGAGGGGAAGCTCAGTGGTAGAGCAGCTGCCTAACATGTGCACTGGCTTCAATCCCCAGTACCGCACACAAAAAATTATCTAGATAAAAATATTTCAGGGTTAGGAAGTTCAGATCCAATCATAACAGAAAACGAAGATCTCGTTTTTCAATCAGTATTGTGAATCCACCTGGAAACTCTGCCCCTGTTATAAAACAATGTTCCATCTAATCATGATTCTACCCTAAGTTTCTGATACCTGGTGGGCAGGAACTTACTCTTTCCTAGATTTAACCACATCAGTAAAATAAGTATGTGATCAAGCTAGTAGTCATTATAAGGAGCACTACAGCCGAAGGGAGACAAGGCCTGGGTTGTGTGTAAAGGAGATAGAGGTCAGGTTTCCACAGAATGAAATAGTACATTCACTTTGTGTTTTGAACATAGAGCTGCTGCTTCTGGTCTATAATGCTTGTTGTGATCTCAAACTGAAGTAAACCCATCAATGTTCTATAGAGCTCAGGGATGGTACAAAGAAACTTGGCGATTTGGTGTTTTATCCAGAAGTGTTCAGATATTTGTAGGTTTTACTGGTGATGGAGGTATGCGCTTGTAATCTCAGCTAGTCAGAAGGCTAAGACAAGAAGATCACACATTAAAGCCAACCTGGGCAACTTAGCAAGACTCTGTCCCAAAATAATATATATGTAGATTGCAATTTGGGGCTGGGGTTGAGACAGGGTCTCACTATGTAGTTGAAACTGACCTGGAACTCACTATGTAGCCCAGGCTGGTCTCGAAGTCACTGTGATCCTCATGCTTCAGCCTCCCCAGTGCTGGGATTACGGGCGTGTGCCACTACACCCGGCTGTTGATTGTAATTTAATTTGGATGTATTATCTAAAAAAGCAATCATTCCCTATGATCTACCTCATTCCAATTTGCTGAAATTAGCATGTTTGACCTGAATTACACCCATATTTTATTGTAATTGAGTAATACTA